CATCCTACCCTTAGTGATCTACAGTGCTGAAAAGTGGTTTTCTGGTAAAGCTGAGGGGAAGAATCTTATGGCCTTGCGATGAGCGATTGAGCAAAGTGTGTTCAAGGTGTTCCTCCGGGATCACCTTCGGAGGGGGCAAATTCGATAAGGACTAGATTAAAAGACGCAGTCTGTTTCTTCTACGTTGGCAAGAGAAAATGGACTCCTCGTGTGGTTCGCCGGAAAAAGAACCAGTGGACCTGATAGATCCAAACTGGGCTTCGGTGAACCAGCTACATCGAGTCGTACAGCTTATTTTTTGAGCGTTGGGGGCAGAGGGCAAAAATTAGAGAATTTTGAAACAGCGTGAACTTGCTTGCCTGGTGCACCGATAATGAGGACAAGAAGGATAACTGAAAAAGAATTCTATATTCGATTTGTCACTTTTTGACTATTGGAATTGTAACAGCTCCTGTGAATGCAGCGAACACCATTTTTCTGTGATATGATTCGAGCTGTTAACCTTTTCGTGTTGCTTTCTATATAATTTATGCTTTTTAGGCGAAGGTGGCATGTGGTAGAATAATTGTTACTTTCGTCCGACTGAAACTGTTTAAGTATGGCCTGTCTTATGGTCGATGATTATGACTACGAAATTTTTGAAGTCACTAACACTTCTCAGTGTAATTGCTCAGATCCTGCATTTTGGTACAATGAACTATGCAACTGCGACTATCCGCAAGCCCCGCCGTCCCCCCTGTACGATGCCCTGCCTTTAGGCATGTGGTACGGTGTGGTGTTTGTTCTTGGAGCACTTGGCAATTCCATGGTTATCGCAGTGGTCAGCATATACAAGAGAATGCGTAGTCTGACCAATATTTTTTTGGCAAGCTTATCCACTGCTGACCTGCTCATCATTCTATTTTGTATTCCCGTTCAGGTAATGATCATCATAATTACCATAATTATTAATCATTACGCATAATTTGAAGTAGCATATGACCGTTCGTTTTAGTACATGAAATACTTATCTTATTCGTGGTTCTTGGGAAAGTTCTTATGCATCTGGTTCCACTACGTTCAACTGTTCACGATGATATGTTCTGTCTTGACCTTAACAGTTATCAGCTTCGAAAGGTAAGCAGTATTAAAAATGCATTAAAAATTTATCTTTCTAAGATTGTTAGACTATTCGGTTTCCT